ACATTTTGGGTTGATTTAAATGTTTATATTTTTAACCCTACTAATTTGACCCACAGTTTAATCCTTAAATATATAATTTTTCCTTACAAAAACCCAAAATCGTTATCTCTTGAATATGTTGCTTTCTTTATTTTATGTGCAACATTTTACATCCACAAGCAAAACCGACTTAAATCTCCTTTGTTTTCCTATTTTTCTTGTTGAATTTAACTCTCGTTTCATCCCTCAGGCTTTTAAACAACAACAACAAATGCAATATTTTGATGAACTGATTATATTAATATTATGATTATTCAAAGATATTTAACCTTTTCATTGTGCCTTTATTCTGTGTATATAATCTCATACTATGATGTATGCAAACCCATTATATTTATGTTTTCTGCTGTTTGTCATTATGATTGTTCATTGTTAAAGATATAACCATCTTTCCCTGAGCTTGTATGTAATTATAAGTTTTGCAGTAATAATAAAAAATAAGATAAGACGGACAGGTGCACTAACACCTCATAGCATCAGTAACGCCACAACCCTTCCTAGTACGGTTTTCCTCAGTGTTTGCAATATTTGTAATATCTGCACAAAGGAGACATCGATCAGCTGCTTGAAGATCTCGCCTTTGGAGAAGACTCGAAAAATGTAAGTATTACTACTTAAAAATTGAGGTTACCCCAGAATGCATTGCTAGCCCACCCCAACACTTATGAACAATAATAATGATAAATGCTGAACAATAATTAATTTATATATATATATATATATATATACAGTATATATATATAATGTAGTAAAACAAGCAAAATGTAATTTGTTTTGTCATATGCCATAGCTATGCATGACTACACACTAGACAAACACAGCCAAGGTGAATACATGTAATGATTTAATGCACAAGTTAATGAAACAATTATATTTTATTTACTGACAACAGGAAACATGAATAAATGAGTAAAATATAATTAACCATGACAATAAATAAATACAAGTCATCGACACATGAAACAAAGCTTTATTCAAACATATTGTTCTAACAAACATATATTTACAGGCGGTGAATCCACGTCCTACTGCCATCTCAACACAGCTGAGACCGTTCTGCAGCTTTATTCTGATGAAGCAGCTGACCACTGTGTCCACCTTCACCTGTCTCTGCCATCCATCACGACCATCACTGCTGCAGTCAGACTGAATCTGATCATGGATGAGAAAGGGACATCGAGGCTGTCGTTGCCTGAGTGAACAGAGAGGATGAGGAAGACCATGATGATGCCCCTGAACCACACAATCATGAGGCAAGAGCAGGAGAACATGTGCTCGACAATTTGGCTGCTGCTGTGTCTGCTCCAAACATTTGTGTGCTGCTCTCCATGAGCACAATTACCTGTAAAACATTAAAACTGAGTAAAACATTTTACAATGAGTGTTGTCAGCATTTCATTTCATATGTTTATAATTACATATAATTACTATGCATTTTGTCATAGTTTCATTACATTTGTGGTGGAGTGGGCTAAAGCACTGAGCTGGTAAGCAGAAGGTTACTGGATTGATCTCTGCAGTCGTCACCACCGGTGTGTCCTTTAGCAAGGCTCTTTACTCCAGGTAGCTGCAGGGGGATTAAGGGTCCCTGTAATAAGAGCACTGTAAGCCACTTCGGATAAAAGTGTCTGATAAATGTAAATGTGATTTTTGTAAATCCTTTTTTGTGTCTTGGGCAAAAACGCTCAATAAAGCTGCTTATTTCTTAAAGTTTATTTCTTCAAGGTACTACTATAATATAAATGCATGCATATATTTCATACAGTTTCTTTTTGGGGGGTTTAAACGGTTAGTTCATCCAAACATATAAATGCAGTCATTATTTACTCGCCTCCACACTGTTCAATCCTTGTTTTTTTTCTGAACACAAAAGGTGATCTTGGTCAAGTTTGTTCTGCTGGTTTCTGTTCATACAATATCAGTCAATGGAGCCTGACTTCCAGAAGCTTCATGACTTTATTTGATGATGCTTTTGAAGCTACTGAAACTCTGGCTCCATTGACTGATGTTGTATGAACCGAAACCAGCAGGACAAACTTGACCAAACTCACACCCTCAATGTCTTTTGGTCTTTTTCTAGATGTTCTCACTGGCTCTGGGGTCACTGAGGATGAAGAGACCACAGCAGCATCCAGCCCAGATAAGGCAGTAAGAGCAGGTGGAGTGATGGAGCGTCTCATCCATGGCACTGAACCATTTCTAGGATGCTGCTGTGGACTCTCCATCTTCACTATACACACCAGTCTGCAGACATTTCAGATCACACAAAAATGCACAAACACAATACAAAAGCAGTCATTTTAACAGCACAATGTCATTTGATTTCTGCATTAGAAGTAACAGAATTATCTTAATTTATATTTTTGTTTCAGGTTTTCCCTTTTTTCCCACAAATGCCGCCATCACCTTTCCTTGCAGGTCCTGCTCCACCACAAAAGCTCTGCAGCAAATGCACAGGAATCAAGAATCAGAAAAGTGCTGTGATAACTGTTTGAAATTACAATAATTAAAATAAACTTCAACTTAAGATTTAAAAGATGTTTTATTCATTTCTGTAGCGTACTCACTCAAAACCTTTGATGGCAGCATTCCTTCATCAGTCACTCTGCACCAAATAAACACGTGTGTCTTATCTGTCCCTGTAACATCCAGACAAGAGTCTGTGATTGATCTGCTCAATACTGTATTTACATGTTGTGTTAACTCACTTTTTATCTAACACAAGTGCTCCACAATTTATCAACAATACTAATGGACAAATAAAATAGATAACGTATGTTTAGTTATTTTATGTAGATTTGTTTATTAACATTACTTACATTCATCTAAAGCAGTGTTGACAACAGTGAATTCTACATAATAGCACATATACATAACTCAGATGTCTGTTCATGTTGTGATGTGCTGATCTGCAATTCTTTTAGAACATTTTCCTGTCAGATATTAAATAGACATTTAGTAATCGTCTTTAAGATGTATATGGTTTATGTAAATTTGCTCTGGTGACGTACGTGTGCTTACTGGAGCTCCCCTGTTCTATTATAGGTCATAAAACATGTTTTTACAGCAAAATCACAAATATACCATACTGTCTAGCGTCTTACACCCTCAACAATTGAACAGGTTACTCTTCAGTAGCTTAACAAAGCGATTTTAACAAAGGGAACCCTGTATTTGATTTTTAATACTCACATTTGTAAACAGCCTTGTCGCTGTTTTCCGGCCTGTTCGATGATGACGTGTCCTCTCGCGTGGCCTCCTGGGATAGAAAAGTATCCATCAATGAGTACTTCAGAATCTGGACTGAAGCAGTAGGACATCCAGGGATTTCTCGGCTACTCTTATGAATACTTCACATACTCTTAGCAGGTAAGCAGGCATATTCGGACACACTTTAAGTAGACGCACGTCCGAAACTCGCGAGAATTAGTACGTCACTCAGGTAATTCTCGCCTACTCTTTTATGAATACTAAGGATTTGGACATACTTATTCGCTCGCCTACTGCTTTTCCCCTACTATATAGTAGAGAAGTAGGCGGTTTTCGGACGCAGCCGGAATTTCTAAGGTTATAGGTCGCATGGTGTCTGAACGGGTGGGATGGGCTCTTTGGATGCCTTTGATGAGCAGGGAGGTCTGTGAACTGGCTATTTGAGGTGAGGGTGAACCGTATATGAGTTTGTGGAAAAATTGGATTCCACTTAGATAGCCTTTAATGGAGCTGATTTGGAGGTTTTTGTTGATGTTGAGGCGGGAGACGAACAAAGTGATGGCGAGTAAGGAAAAATCAGGGAACGGCAGGTTAAATGCAGAGTGCAATGCTTTAAAGCATTTCCATGCTGTTAGATACGATTGGAGGGTCCTGGGGGAGACGGCTTGAAGGATAGAATTGAGGGAGGCTTCGAGGAGAGGTTTCAGTGTATGGTTTATGGGAATATCAGCTCTGAATAAGGAGGTACTGGGGTTGGGAGTGGTTCCGCCTCTGGTGCCAACAGTCTGAACTTCTGGAAGGCAAAACGAGAGTCTCAGCTATTTGTTTTTTGGACCCGGGAATGTGCTTTGCAGTTATAATTAATTGGTCGCAAGCCGAGATCCAAATCAGGCGTCTTAACAAAGGCATTAGTGCGGGTGAATGGAAACGGCCTTTATTAATGCAGTGCACGGTAGCCTCATTGTCGCAGTGAATTATGATGCTGGTGGCAGACCTCTCTTTACCCCACAGAAGGGCTGTGACGACTTAAAGGATATAGCTCGAATAGAGCTGAGGACGTTAACAGCTGTGGTAAGTCTAACAGCTAGGGGGTCCACATAGATGCGAACCAGCGGCCTTGGTAAAATCCTCTGAAACTGACGGAGGAGGCAGCGTCTGTAAATAATTAAATGTAAAGGGGAGAAGAAATCAAGTTATTGTAAAAGAAAGATAGCCCGTTCCATTGTTTAAGAAAGGATATCCATAAGCTGAGCTTGTTGCAGCAGGAGTCAGTTAGTGATATTCGATCCTCTAGTGCATGGGCGGAGGACGCGAGAGAGAGGAGATGTGAGATGATACGCGGGATGATACGCATTGCGAAATTTAAATGACCGAGAATGGATAGCAGCTCACGTTTGGAGCAGCTTGGGTTATCTAAGAGGGTGGAAGCAACCAAAATCGTCCTATAAATTTTTTCCTTCGGCAGAGAAGCCTGGATTTGATACCCAAAAATTCAATGGAGGTGCTTGGGCCCGCGGTTTTGTCTTGGGCGAGAGGAATCCTGAGCTCTGCAAAAACCTTTTGGGTTGTCAAAAGATGTGCGGCTGGGATGGAGTCGGGAGGCGAGATGATTAAGAAATCGTCTAAAAGATGGATCAGGTAAGGTATTGCGTAATTGTTGGAGAGGATCCAGCAGATTGCCTCTGACAACATGTCGAAAATTTTAGGGCTGCTTCTGCAGCCGAAAGTGAGGCAGACGGAAAAGTTAAATTTATTATGCCAGCGGATGCCGAATAAATGCCAAAAATCGGAGTGAATGGGCATCACTTTAAAGGCAGAGGTGATGTCGACTGCTATGTTTTTTTCGGTTAAGAGTAGATAGGTTAGGTTTATTGTATTTCTTTTTCTTTTTCTTTGTGGCAGGTTATTTATATTGTTTTACTTTATTAGTTTGGCTTTGTTTGTTATTTTGGGCCTTGGGTCTCTCTGACAAAAAGTACTGCTTTATTATTTATATTTTGTTATTGGTTTATTTTAATAATTCGTCACTTAGACGAATTATTTCTGCTTTTGATATTTCCTTGTTTGGACCACGGTCCCTTAATGAATGTTATCAGTTGGTGGCTTGCTGGAAACCTTTTTGTTCCTTCCCTTTTTATTCATTTATTGCGTCTTACCCTAGGGACATAATAAAATGGGGGCTCGTCCGTTTCATCTAATTAGTTCGTAAGTAAGATTTGCCTTGCTGGTGAGTAATTTTTGTTTTTTGTCTGACTGGCGGTTTTTACTTGTGAAAGGGGTAGTGTAATAATGGAGTTTAGTATCGAGGCTTTTAAACAATCTCCTACTGTTGAGGCTTTACATGCATGCCGTAAGTCTGACCTAATTCTTATTGCAGAGTATTATGATATATCTATACCTAAAGTGGCGATCAAACAGGCAATAAGAGATGTGGTGCAGGATAATTTGGTGTTGGCAGGGGTTTTAAAAATAGAACCGGAGTTGCGGGATGTCGATGCTGTTTCTCTGATGGATGGAGCAGAGATTTCGGGTCAACTTCCGACGGCAGATCCGAATCTATTGATGGGTCTAAACACAGAAGATCTGAAATTGGCTATCAGACTTAAAGAGCTTGATTTACAAGTTAAGCGGCAAGAACATGATACACAACTTCTGCGTGTCAGGCAGTGTGAACTCGAGGCTCGCCGTGTTTCAGCTAGGCCGGTGAGTGTATCACAAACCCCTATAGCGTCTGTACCCAATGTTTCTCCCAGTGTTCCTCCTGCTGTTTCCCCTGTTCCACATCCCCCAAGTATGGGTGAGGTTGATATCAGCAGGCAGATTCGTTTAGTCCCTCCTTTTAGGGAAGCGGAGATTGAATCGTACTTCAGTGCATTTGAGCGTATAGCTGTCGCTCTGCATTGGCC